CCTCTTCTCTGCTCCTTAGCTTCTTAGGTTTCCAATCCTAAGAGTCTTCAACTTTCCACTCTTCCTCAATACCTGCACAAAAAATGAGGTGGATTAAGGTATTGTTAGATGAATTTGGGTTAGTTATATCTGCACACAAAATGAACCAAAAAGAGAACAATTATATTGCAATGGTTCAAAGGATGAGTGGAATTTGTTCAATAAGTCTCATCCAAAAAGAGGTAAAATTGAGACTTAACAGTTGTGCTCTAGAATGATGAGCCGAGTTGTGAGTAGTAAGTTGTGTTGAATACTACTTAGTTGTGCTGTATGCTGATTTTGGTGTTGTGCTGTGCTAAGAGCTGTTTTGCTGTGCTGTTTATTGCTGAGCGGTATGTTGTGTTTAGCCACTATTGTGGTGCTGTTATAGCCGCTATGTTGGTGCTGTTAGCCACTATTGTGGTTCTGTTATAGCCGCTAAGTCGGTGCTGTGCTCCGAGCTGATAGGAGCTGTTGTAGGCCGTAAGGCTAAGCTGGGGTAGGAGATCTCCGAGCTGATATGCGTGACGACGCATTGTGTGTTTACTACGATTTATCGATGTGTACTGTTGTTTACGGTTGTTATTGCTAATTGATGTTCGGATAGCGATAGTTGTTTACTATTCTTAAATTTATATATTTGTATGTTGTTTCTTTTCACTAGCTTACCCTTGTTGTTTCCATGTGGTTTGGACTGCGATGATCATATTACGTATGGGAGCAGAGCAGGGATAGGTTGGTGGCTTACGGAAGGTCTGCAGCTGGCAGATAGAGCTTGATTCTTGTGGATGTTTTGGTGTTTTAGCTACTAGGTGTAGTAGCGATTGATGTAATTTGTACAGTTGAATCTAGTCAGACTTGGGCCATGTATATATGTATATTCTAGACACTATATATATACACTTGTTCCTTTCTGTCCGGTTTTCAGGTGTACTGTGTAGTGTGTAGTGACCAGCCGGGTCGTTACACTGAGTTGGGCTGTGATCGATGAATTAAAAAGTTGAGTTTATAGTCTTGTGGTACTATAGAATGTTGGGCTGAGTTGTGAGTAATAAGTGTGTTGAATTGCTGTGTTGTGCTGAGCTGTATGATGTTATAGCCGCTAAGTCGGTGCTGTTATTAGCCACATATGTGGTGCTGTTATAGCCGCTAAGTCGGTGTTGTTGTTGCCACTAAGCGGTGCCGTTATAGCCACTATTGTGGTGCTGTTATTGCTGCTAAGCAGTGCTGATATTGCCGCAATGCGGTGCTAAGAATGTGGTATGCTGTGAGTGGTATGAGCAGTGCTGGTGTTCTGATAGCCGTAGTCATTTTCTATCATCATATTATACATATATATGTATGTTGATTTTATTTACACTAGTTTACCCTTTGTTGTTTCCATGACGTTTGGACTGCAATGATCATACTATGTATGGGAGTAGAGCAGGGATAGGTGGGTGTCTAGCGGTGAGTCTTCAGCGGACCGGTGGAGCTGATCTTTTTTTTGATTATTTTGTTGTTGAGCTACTTGGGATAGTAGCATTTGATTGAAATTTTTGTAACTTTAACTCTGTTCAGATTGGATCATGTATATGTATATTCTAGACTCTATATGTATACAGTTGTTCTTTTCTGTGCGGTGTTTCTAGTGTGTTGTGCCGTGTGTAGTGACAAGCCGGGTCGTTACATATTTGTTTAAACTTTTTCCATTAAAAATGCTTCTTTTTAATAAAATAAGTATTTTCTTAATTTTTTTTTATTTTCTAAACCTTTTTTTTAAATAATGAACAACTTTCTACTTTTTTTTAAGAAACAATTCATATTTGCTTTTTTTTATTAAAAAAAAAAAACAACTCCCATATACTTTTCAAATAATTTAAAAAAAAAAAAGTTTCTTTAGAAACATATTTTTAGATTTAATCAAATAAACTCATCATCTCTTCAATTACATCAAAAGATGGAAGTTTCTATTAAAAACAATGGCAATAAAAATAATAAACCTCAAACTTAAGAATATGAAAATACAATTATAATCCGTGACTACTAATACTAAGTTGACACTAATGTTGAAAGTTTTATGAATTCACGCAATAAAGATATATTCATCTTTAATTTAATTCAATTCAATTAGTCTCTCAATTAATTAATAGAGCATCGTTACGTATACAAATTACAAATTACGTATGAATTAAATATTTTAAAACCATAAGTAATAATTGAGCATAACTAATCTTATATCTATTACTAGCCGGTGGCCGTTACAAGTATGATTATCATATTAACTAGATTCTAGACAATTAAATTTTGTCTTGTATACAACAAAATCATACACCTTGATTTTGTCATTATCACTATTATATTTGTTGCGTGTAGTATGCAATTTTTCTTATTAGTTTCTTTTCTCTACTATCTATGATTTGTCCTGGGTTGAAGAAACTTGTATTTGCATTTGATTTTGGAAGAAGTATATTCCTTTTGATTCTTGGACATCTTGATTACATCTAACTCGACCATACACCCCAAGAAGGAACTTTTCATCTGTGGTTTTTTTTAAACTCAGTCTCGCTACTCTGTTCTTCATTTCCTTCTTATACTTATATTCCTTTTGTTTCCCCTCTACTAGTTTAGAAACATGGAAGATTTCGTGTTCAAAACTATGACATCCTCTTTTGCCTTGCTAGTTCTCTATATTGTGATTAGATTTGTGAATAACATTTGGTGGAGGCCCAGAAGTACAGAGAAATTATTGAGGCAGCAAGGTATCAGAGGCTCTTCCTACAAGCTTTTTAATGGGGACATATCGGACATGAAGAACTCTGCTCTGAAGGCATCGTCAAAGGCCATCTCCCTTAACCACCAAATCGTCCCTCGAGTCATCCCTTTCATTCACAAAATGGTTCAGCAACATGGTAAACTTGTTTGTTACTTTATTATGGAAATTGGTTATTTCAAAAGAAGAAAATAAACTCCCTTTTCAAATGTTTTATTTGTGTAACGCTGTATGTGTAGGAAATGTTTCGTTGTGTTGGTTTGGAAGAAGACCAAGACTGATAGTAGTAGATGCAGAGCTCACAAGGTTGGTTTTAACAAATAAGAATGGCCATTTTACGAAACCACCACGTAACCCCCTCGTCAAAATTCTAACACAAGGATTGTCATCACTAGAAGGCGAAGCATGGACTAAACGCAGAAGGTTAGTAACATCGGCTTTCCAGCTTCAGAAGTTAAAGGTACGTCACATTCTATATCACTGCTATCAGAATCGTATACGTCATCCACTTAGCCCGAACTTGGAAATTATTCCAATCAAGACAATTTCCACGATTGTATAATTAGTACTATTATTTCGAAAGCAATAAATGATAGCATAGTATATGGTCAAATATAGGCAATGGTACCAGCATTTTCATCCAGTTGTCACAACATGATCCAGCGTTGGGAAAAACTAGTAGAACCAAATGGATCGTTTGAATTAGATGTCAGTTCAGAATTCGACGTTCTTGCTGGTGATGTCATAGCTCGAACAGCCTTCGGAAGCAGCTACCAAGAGGGAAAGAAAATTTTCGAACTACAAAAGGAGCAAGCAATCTTGGTGAGTGAAGCCCTCAATAACATCTACATCCCAGGTTTTAGGTACAATACGTTAACCATTATGTTACTTGTTTATTTACAAGTTTGATTACTAATAACTTTGTGTCTCTCTTCAAAATGGATTTTTTTATCTGCAAGCTTTTACTAACTCCACCTTGTATGATTGTATTATGAAACTAGATTCTTACCAACTAAGAAGAACAAACGTAGGTACAACCTAGATGTCCAAATCAAAGCTATGTTAAGGGATATTATTCAGAAGAAAGAGCAAGTAATGAGAGAGGAGGGTAAATTAAAAGAGAATGACTTATTAAGCATACTACTACAATGTAGAGATCAAAATAATTCTCTAACAACAGAGGATGTGATTGAGGAATGCAAGCTGTTTTACTTTGCTGGCCAAGTGACCACAGCTAACACTCTTGCATGGACTATGATTGTTTTATCTATGCATCCTGATTGGCAAGAAAAGGCAAGAGCGGAAGTGTTAGGGATTTTTGGCAAAAAAGCACCAGATTTTGAAGGCATCAATCATCTAAAGATAGTAAGTTTAATTTCTCAATCAATCAAAGAAAATAAGTGAATTTTCTATTGCTCTAACCACTAGTTTGAACTTTGAACCCAAAATTTGACTACATGCAGGTGTCAATGATATTGTATGAAGTTTTGAGATTATATCCTCCTATAACAGTCATTAACAAATACAATTGGTGTGAGACAAGGGTAGGAAACATGTCCATCCCAGCTGGGGTTGAGGTTTGTTTACCCTTGCTACTTCTTCATTATGATGGCAACTATTGGGAGAAGCCCGAGGAGTTTAACCCAGTTAGATTTACTGAAGGGGTTTCTAAAGCTTCAAAGGATCATATTGCTTTCTATCCTTTTGGTTGGGGACCAAGAATCTGTCCAGGCCAAAACTTCGCCTTCCTAGAAGCAAAGATGGCCCTGGCTACGATTCTTCAGCATTTCTCTTTCCAGCTCTCACCCTCTTATGCTCATGCTCCGAGTAATTCCATTACTCTTAAGCCACAATTTGGAGCTCCCATTGTTATTCGTCGTATTTAAGAATTCTAATTACTATCACCAGCTTTGCTGCCCCGTCATTATCGATGTCCTTGTTAATATCATCACCATTATTATTTTTACCTTTATCATTTTTATTATTGTTAATATAAATATTGTAATTATCAACAATAAGGTTAATGATAACAATTAATAATAATATTATAAAAGATATTTATAATTAAATTTTAATTTTAATTATAATCTAAAGATTATCTTTAAAAATTTTCAAATATATATATATATATATATATAACATAAATATAAAAGTAAAACAACTATATTAATATAGACAAAATATATACACATGTATATAGTAATTCCAAAATACTTCTATATTGTAATGTCAGTTGAGCATAATTATACAAGTTACATGTAGTAGCATTACCATTAACAAAAAAAAAATTACACCACTTGTCAGTAGCAGCTTTTCAAGCCTAACCTCGATCTACTATCATACAACATATGGTCATTGTAATCCAAACCATAATGGAAGCATAAGGGTAAGCTAAAGTTTGAAAATATGTAAATATAGAAAACAATTCTATAGTATACAACATCACATCACAACCATACATAAAAGTTATGACACTCCAAGCAAATAAGTATCTCATCCAAATCATGTCACACAAGACATCAACAATGCATATGAACACACACATTGGCACCCATTATATGCAAACATATCAACCAATGCGTCATTACGTATTCATCTATGTAAATCTCTTAACAACATGAGTAGTCTAAGTAATTTCCACCTTAACGAACTAACCTAGTCGTTTTCATGCCTAAAGCATTAAATCGATCACAACAAAATATAGCCCTCAACCTTCTACCTTATTCAACCACTAACTAAGGACCTAGAGAGATTGAAAACACCTCAAAATCTACTCTAAGTGATACACCTACTCAAAGAAGGCTTTTCAACAATGACCTACTCGAGCACCACTCCAAGATTCCTTATATGGGATCTTTAGTTTTCAAAATAATTTCCTCTTCTTAAGTCCTAAGTTAACCACATCTCACCATACATCATCTATATTCATCACATCCAATCAATACATATATAGATCAACAACAACATCATCCATATAAGGCATATCAATGCTCTCCAAAAATCACACATCATCCATATGTACAACATACATATACCTATCATCATCCAACACCACACAAACATCTACATATGTCATATCTGATCAACATATGTAGAACCATCATCATACACATACAAAATGCAATAGAACTCAAAACATCTATTCATGTTCATCATACAACATGTATCAACATATAACTTATCAAAATCAACTATCATAACATGACAACCTTCACATAAAATAATACATAGGTAGTTCTACTACTCCATTCAAACTCATATTTATCTCATATAAAATTTTAAAAAGTTATCTACAATTCTTATGAAGACTTCAATAAGTTTTAACCCCATCATCTACTATACTAAAAATCACAAAAACTACAACAATTTGCCTAAATGCTGATAGCTTGACTTTTACTCACTACAAAGGTCATAACTGAAATTCTAGACTTCCTTTTTAGGTGATTTCAAAGTCATTGGAAAGCTAACATCTAAGGCTACAACTTTCATGAAGACCACAAAGAAAATTTGACCATCTACTCACTTAAACAAGTTAATATTTTGTTTAAGCGAGGTTAGCTCCCTCATAACAACCAATAACTTGCTCTTAGTGACCAAAATTCACTCAAAGCACTTGAAAAGTTGCTCTAAATGACCTAAGTCAAAAAGCATCTCTAAGAAACCATCCAGGCTTGATTGGAGCTAACAACTTGCTCTAAGAAACCAAAATTTACTCAAAGCGTCTGAAAACTCACTCTAAGCGACCTAAAATGCATCTCTAAGAAACCACCTAGACTCGCTTGGAACAACCCCTAAATCATTGTGAGCGACCAAAATTTGCTTAAAGCACTTGAAAACTTGCTCTAAGCGACCCAAGTTCAAATAGAGCAACCCTATGGCGCTCTAAGCGACCAAACCCATAAAATATGCAAATTTGAAGTTCAAAAACATCAACCCAGCAAAACACTTTAATCATCCAAAAATCCACCCAACCCATACAATAATTCATGCATGCAACTAAATCATTCATACATATACTTTCCCAACAACTCATTTTGTCCCAAAACCACCACAAGTAACTACAAAATCTTTCAAGATCATCAAAATCATCTTACCCACCTCAAGAACAACCAAAACCCCACCAACACAACCTTCAAATACGTAATTCCTCTAATTCATACAAAAATTGATGTTCTCACTCACATACAAAACAATTAAATCAATCATTCATCACTACAAGAAAAATGCTGATTTTCGATGGAAATTTCCGACGGAAATAAGCAAATTTCTGACGGATTTCAATCCGTCGGAAAAAGTGGCGTCGGAAAAAGAAATCCGTCAGAAATAATTTTCTGACGAAATTTTCCGACAGAAGTCAGAAATTTCCGACGGAAAAATCCGTCGAAAATTATAATTTTTTTTGTTAATGGATGATTTCTGGCTGAGATGGATGAAAAATTGAATTTTTAGGGTTTTCGAAACTTTGAAGAAATTTTGGGGTTTTTGATGATTTGTGTTTGCATGTTGAAAATGGACTGTTTTTATTGATATTTGATGAGAATGGAAACTTTTGGCTGGATTGCATGTGGATTTGCTGTTAAGTTTTGCAGGATTTGGACAAATTTCGAACTTGGGGAGAGTTGTTGCTGAGTTCGCGCTAGGCGCTGTTCTTCGTGCCGGGCGTGTGACCACTAGGGGACTCTGTTTAGGCAAGCCCGCAGGGTGCAAAGCTGTGTGCGCCGGGCGAGCTTGCAAATGGGAGTCTTTGGTTGGCCCGCGCCGGGCGTGACTTGGGCGCGATATCAATGGTGACATGTTTTGGGTACTCTGGTGCCGCGCTAGGCGCACGGTTGGACTCGCTGGGCGCGGAGGCTCCTTGGGAGTCTCTGCCAAGAGAGCGCTGGGCGCAATGCGAATTATTTATTGTGGGGTTGCCTAGGTCAGCTAGGAATAGTGATGCTATCTAGGTGATTGTTGACCGGTTGACCAAGTGTGCGCATTTCTTTCCTGTCAACATCAAGTGGTCCTTGGAGAAGCTGACGCAGTTGTATGTAAGGGAGATAGTACGGTTGCACGGGGTGCCTTCTAGTATTATCTCCGACCGAGATCCGAGGTTCACTTCCAGATTTTGGCGGAGTCTACATCATGCCCTAGGCACGAAGCTGAAGCTGAGTTCTGCTTATCATCCACAGACAGATGGTCAGTCAGAAAGGACAATCCATTCCTTGGAGGATCTACTGAGGGCCTGTGTGTTAGACCACTTGGGTAGCTGGGAGGAGGTCCTACTGCTGGTGGAGTTTACTTATAACAACAGTTTTCATGCTACCATTGGAATGGCACCGTATGAAGCCTTATATGGCAGGAGATGTAGGACTCTTCTACGCTGGTACCAGGATGGTGAGTCAGTGGTTGTAGGACCGGAGCTGATTCTACAGACCACTGAAAAGGTGAAGATGATACAGGAGAAGATGAAGACTGCTCAGAGTAGGCAGAAATCATATGCTGACAAAAGGCGTAAGCCTTTGGAGTTTGCCGAGGGGGAGCATGTGTTTCTGAAGGTGACTCCGACTTCTGGTGTGGGCAGAGCGCTGAAGGCAAGGAAGTTGACACCGAGGTTTGTGGGTCCCTATCAGATCATACAGCGTGTAGGTCCAGTTGCTTATTGGTTGGCTTTGCCACCGTCTCTTTCAAACCTACACGATGTATTTCATGTGTCTCAGCTGAGGAAGTATATTCATGACCCTAGTCATGTGGTGGAGTTGGACGATGTACGAGTGAGGGAAAACCTGACATATGAAAAGTTGCCAGTAGCCGTAGTGGATCATAAGCTGAAGGAGCTGAGGGGCAAGTCCATTGCCCTGGTGAAAGTCCTGTGGGATGCGGTTACCGGTGAGGCTACTTGGGAAGTGGAACAGCAGTGCCGGGAGCGATATCCGTTTCTTTTCCCAAGTAAGTCTATTTTCGGGGAAGAAAACTCCTGTTGTTGGGGAGGTTGTGAGACCCCCTTCCTTCCTTCCTTTCCCCAACTCTCTTTCACTCTCTATTCTCACTCACCTCTCTTTACACTCTCCTTTCCCGGTTTCCTTTTCTCTGATCTTGGCTGGCTGTGGTGATCTTAGGAGCTGAGTAGTGGTGTTGGGTTGCTAGCCGAGCTGTGTGGAATTCCTCCCAAGCCATTCTTCTTCTTCTCTCCATTTTCATCATCCCGAAGCTCGGAATCTTCTACCGAGGTAAGGGAAGCTAGTTATTTTGGCTGTTTTCGACTTGGAATGAGCTTTAGATACTCCTATGTTGCTTGTTGTGGAATGATTTCTGGCTGAGATGGATTAAAATTGAATTTTTGGGGTTTCGGAACTTTGAAGAAATTTCAGGGTTTTTGATGATTTGTGTTTGCATGTTGAAAATGAGCTGTTTTTATTGATATTTGATGAGAATGGAAACTTTTGGCTGGATTGCATGTGGATTTGCTGTTAAGTTTTGCAGGATTTGGACAAATTTCGAACTTGGGGAGAGTTGTTGCTGAGTTCGCGCTAGGCGCTGTTCTTCGTGCCGGGCGTGTGACCACTAGGGGACTCTGTTTAGGCAAGCCCGCAGGGTGCAAAGCTGTGTGCGCCGGGCGAGCTTGCAAATGGGAGTCTTTGGTTGGCCCGCGCCGGGCGTGACTTGGGCGCGATATCAATGGTGACATGTTTTGGGTACTCTGGTGCCGCGCTAGGCGCACGGTTGGACTCGCTGGGTTTCCGTCGGAAATTTTCCGTTAGCAATTTTTGACGGAATTATTTTTCCGTCGGAAAGTTTTTGTCGGAAATTTCTGACAGATTTATATTTCCGTCGAAAATTTCCGACGGATCCATATCTGTCAGAAATTTTCCGTCGAAAATTAACATTTTTGTTGTAGTGCATCCTAACTTCTCTTACCTCGATTCCAAGCTTTCCGAAAGAGAAGTAGAGGAAGAAGAAGAAAAGAAGCTTCGTGCTTCTGAACTCCACCAGCTC